TCGTAACTTTTTTTTGATAGCCGTTCTTTGACTGTGCAGCGCCCCCGTTGCACTCAGTCGATGTGCGCTTTATGAGCGATTCACTCGCTTGTTGGGCGCATGTCGAGCGCTGTGGGCGATTGAATTTCGAAGTATGAACGCACTCTCACATAGCGTCGTGCTACGACGAAGTAAGGAAGAATTAGAATAATTGATGAATCATTTCGTTCAACCCTTCTAACCCGATAGTGAGATGAAGAAGGTTATCTAGAGAGTATCTAGAAAAGAGCTCTAACAGCAGCCTTCTTTACCGCGTTCTCCACAGGAACCCCTTGTTGAAGTTGCGTCACAGATGGCAAGGAGGACCGTAGACGTGCCACCTCTTCTTCTACTACTTTCTCGATGGCATTGTAGTTGTTCTCCTTCAACTGAAGATACTTCTTACCACCTAATTCCGTGAACGCCAGATAACTCGGCGCAACCTCACAGAGTATCGTGAGATGTTCCATCAGCAAATCTAAAAGCAGCAAGAACTGAGAAATCCATATTCAAAATTCGAAATTTAAATTTTAAAGCTAAATATATAAAAGGGGGAGAACTAAGGATCAGCACGTGGAGCTGAAATTTGCGGGAGATTCTATATACTTCGTTCGTTGCGGACGGTTGGGCGTGTAAGTGCGGCTGGGTTTGGCGCGGTGCCAAACTCGTTCTACACCAGTTGTTGAAGCGGGCAAGTGACAATACTGTATCATATGCTTCGTATTACTCGTCTTCTACCACTTTTTGTCGCATGCGCTCTTCAACAAGAAGGCAGAGAACGGCTTTGATAGGGTGACACACTCATACTGGCTGACACGCCCAACCGTCCGCAGAAAACTAGAGTGTATGCCCAAACACTCACCACGATTCATAGACGACTGGCTCCTTGCGACCTGTTCAGACAGCGTCCTCAAGTCCATTGAGCGAACTTTCTTGATGCAAAGTACCTATAAGCCACAATTAATCATTTGCAACTTCTCTCAAAAAATGTTCACAAGAATATGATTAATAAGAATGTACTGAAAGAAGCTCACGTTGTGATACATCGCAAGAGGCCATGTAGAATGCGCTGGAGCAGTTCTATTTTTCTTTCTATCACAGGATCTCTTAGCTTTTCGGCAGCTTTCCTTTCAGCTTCTTTCGCACGAATCTGTAGTGAAACATCAGCGAAACTCGAAAAATATATGAAGAGAAATCTTACCCTTTCGAGCAGAGACATCGATCCTTTCGGTTTTGAGGCTTGTTTTTCAGCAAATTGACGCGGTGAGAGAGGTACTGCCGAATTAGAGCTCATAAGTTTCTTCACCGGACTCTTCAAATCTTCAAGCGCAGCCTGTCACGACACAGAATCCGAAAAGGAAGCAAGAAAGAAAAGCAAACGAAGGCTGACACCAACCGAAACCGCTTTTGGGAGTGGTACGCTAGTGTCGACCATTGCAAAGTAATCCTTCATTTCGAAGTGCTGCTCACTTCCGTCATGTTCATCTTCAGGGAGTTTAGCCTTAACTTAATGTAATAATATTTCCGACAAGGTAAAGGTGGCCAAAGTATTGTCTTCCTCTTTCAGAGGTACTTTTCCAACGATTTTCCCCTTAGAACTAGTCGAACAGATCTTACGGAACAAACTGTAACGGAAACGTCGGAAGTATACGCCTTATCACGGGTGCTTAGTTTGGTCCAGAACTATCAACAATAACGATTAGTTCACCGTTGCCTATGCTTAACTAAACGTTTTCATTCTACTAGGGAATTTCCTCGACGCAGTGCACTTTGAGCTCTTAATTACATCTTGGACGCCTTTTTACATGGCTCCTGGTTGATCTCCCTTCGTTCAGTGAACTGGATTTCTTCGAAATGACTGAGCACAAATGACAGCACTTTTCCACCACGTCAGCTTCTCCACTAAAGGGCGATGTTCTGATCAGTATAAAGTGAAATTTTCAGTTGACTAGCAACGGCGAAGCTTCGCTGCTCTGAATTTCGACCTGGCAAATGTGCAAGTACAACGTAACTCAAGGGAGTGAACTATCACCTGTTCCAGTTCTTCACATTCTTGCTCAATATCAAACTTAGGATGAAAGCGGCGTAATCGCGCGAGTTCGGCATCTTTCAGAGTGACTGAAACGAACGGAATGTTGGCAGATCCATGGGCTGAACTCTGGAAAAGACTCACATCCTATGCGTTCCAAGAATTTTCGATGAAACTTCTTCGCAATTTCCACCAGCTTATGCCTGAACACATGACTTCTACAAGTCATACGCCAACCTTCAAGACGAGGCCTAGCGTCTAGCACTGGATCTCTGAAACTACTCTCAATCAACAATCTACCGTGGAAAAACCGTGGAATTGGACCGTGCACATATGCATACACATACATATATAGCCGATATTATAAAATTAACGTCAAAACATTAACAACTAATATATTGAGCAGATGAAAAACGTATGTTCACCTGGGAAGTGCCGTTACCACTTTCTTTCGAGGAGACATTAATTTACTCGGTGTGACTGAGGGAAGTGGTTGATCATCACACTTTACTGGAGTATCAGGCAGCATAAATCCCGTCAAATCTAAATTTTCGCATTTATCAAAGTTATAGGTAGGTAAACTGTCGCGTATGGAGCGAATGGTCATCGATTATCTATTTGCAGGACTAGTTGATCACAAATCCTATGCTACCATTTCCGCCAAAGACAATATTCTTGTATTTGCAGTATGTGATCCCATTCAAGAAAAATTCAATGACCTTATAGGAATGGAAAACGAGATTGAAAAAAATAGAAATTACCATCCACTAGATTTGCCGTCATGATGAGCTCTTTCTTTCCATATGACTCCGCATCACCACCAAATGCTTTTCGCCGCTTATCTAGACGAACATCATACGAAGTTGGGTAGACATGGATGATTTGAGCCAGATGTTTACGTGTAAAGCTCCTAAGCACGGATTTTACTCAAAATTAGAAAACGGTCGATCGCCCAAAGAACGCGAATCCAGATATTAAACTAAAATAAACGAAACTAAATCAACTTCTTGGTGCCTTCTATAATATGATACTATCCGAAACTAAATCAAACAAATCTAGAAATAAGATGAACTCACAGTTGTGTATTCTTCTCGACATTCTTCTGAATCTCTAGAACGGCACATCGCCTTCCCTGGTGGTGAATTATGCGATGACAACCTACATAAAAAATACGACTTTTTCGCACAACTTCTTGCGAGCAGTAAGTGAACAATTAGGACCTCGAGCAGATAAAATAGGCGCAGCTCAGCTTTCGGGAGAGAAAACAAAGCATGAACGGCTCACCTTACCAATCTGCAGCGTCACAAGGTCTCGAAGAAGTGAGACTTTAAGTTAAAATGAGCTATGTTTAAGTTTGTTAATGAGCCTTTTTTTTTTGAGCCCTTTCGTTAGAACTAGTGCAAAGGCTTAAAGCCCCCCCGTCCTCTCCTAAGCCGGAGCGCCCGACTATGTCACTCAATAATTTTCTGTATTCAGTGCAGTGTAGTGCACTGCAAATATAGATGTGTGCTAAGTGGATTTAACACCTTGATCTCTAGGTCAACTTCCTATGTTTACCTCGCTCTATTGATGTAAATATTAGCCGAATGGATATTTACTCTGAATCGCCGTAAGAGCCGATGTAAAACCCACTCACCCTTATCACACGACTGAAGGTGTCTGCAGGGCTTCGTACTGGCCCCCTTAGGGGGGCGCCAAAGGAGGGGAAAAAAGGGGAAGTTTGGGGGGGGAGTTTTTCTTGACTTCCTCAATGAGTTCGTGAGGCTTTTTCCGCTTACTCAAAACACATTGCCTGAATCAGGTAGAATGTAATGCTTAGACACTTGTGAACATTTCGGGTACAGCACACTGAATACCTCGTTTCATTCAGCTCAAATTCGTCCAGAGACGCTTTGGCAGGTGTTTTATGCGTGGGAAGAATGAAATCAGGCACAACAGAGGTCGACGGTTCCAAACGCTGAAAATCTTTCGTTGTCAGGAAGAATGAGAAGGGAATGCATTTGAAATACACCTTTTGTGGTGAGCTGAACTTTGCCTTAGTTGTTAATTCTCCTCGCGCTGACCCTTTTGGCACAGACTTCACTGGTGATTTGAGGATCTTGGCGTGTTCCTCCACCTATAACTTCCACGATTACAAGAAATGCTTGATAGAATGGTACCCATATCAAGGAATATTTTCCTGAGAGGATTACCTTTTGGCTCTTGATCCGCTGTGCCTGTTCATGAACTGCTTTGACAGCGCCTTTTTGGGCCAGCACTGCTTGAAGTTCCGCAACACTTCGTATGCGAGCACGTGCTTTGATTTGGGCAGCTAAAAATGAATACTTGGTGAAAAATAAGTGAAATCTTCTCGCAGTCCAAATGGTAAACTCGGACTCATGCGAAACTGAATAGCATGAGATCAGAAGAATTACCACGTACCCTTCGATGTGAGCCTCTCGCTCAGCTCTTCGGCCCTAGAGATCAACGAATCTTTAGCAGGAGATACAACGACGCACGATTCGGTTTCTCTCGACGTCTCTGATTTCACTGTTGCGGAGACATTGGTTCTAGTTGTCATTTCTACTGTCGCAGTCGATGAAACCTGTGTTCAGAATGATAGATCTAGTCATGGTATTCAGGTAGAAGAACGAAAATAAGACGCCTACCAGTACATCCGTTTGGCTGACCTCAACAACCATTTCCTTTTTTGGCGAACTTTTTTTGTTGTCGTCAGTGGCGAAAAGAATTTTTCTAGCGCTTCGTTGTGTGTGATCGGTACACTACAACGTTTCTCATAAATCGTGAACTTTGATAAAATCAAATAATACTCAGTTCTGAGCCACACCTTCTTCGCTCTCTTTGGGGGTGAACATATAGTTTCCGCTTTTGCTGATGAACAAACGCCTTCAGTCAATTCCTTGAAATAGTGAAATTTGAACAGGCCGATAGCATTTCGCAAACATAGCCTACAGCTCACCTGCTGAATAAATCCCGATGCCAGGAGGGGCTTTGTATCGACGCGAGTCTCATCGCCGTGAAGCTTTTTCTGTGTTCTTCCTCTTCCTCTTGTGACCTTCAATGGTACATTGAGAGCAAATCATTATAATGCTAAACTTCTGCCGAATAAAGTGGGCCCCTGTTCGGAAAGTGAAGGAGGAACTCAGACGATGGCGAGCTCACCTTGAACACATCGGTAATCTTCCTGGTCTGTTCCAAGGGCTCTTCTAGCACAATTTTGGCTGCTCGAGCTCGCGTGCTACGACATGACATTTTCTTTGGCGAGTGTAAGTTCCAAGGGTTAGTCGGTTGAGGGTTATTCTGAAAAGGGCAAACAAGTACATCGAAAAAGACATTGAGTTTCAATCGCAGAGCATGGACCTAATAGACACCACTCAACAATACTCGGAATTTAGTCACAATCTAAGGAAGGGCACTTTTCCAAGTCTACAACTGTAACACTTAGCGGAAAAGAACTGGAAGAACACCCATCAACGAAGTTCGAGAAAATTTGGCTCACTATTTCGAACTGAAATGGCAAAGCACAAAAGCCGAACTCATCGCGAAACTTACTGACAGAAACCTGTTTTGAGATCAAACAAAAGATGAAGAAGGA